AAGAAAGAAAGAAAGAAAGAAAGAAAGAAAGAAAGAAAGAAAGAAAGAAAGAAAGAAAGAAAGGCTTAATGAGGATTAAATGATTTAATGCATGTAAAATACTTCAGATAGTGCCTGGCATGTGCTACTGAGTGTTTTCACATTGTCATGTCACTGAGCTGAGGTCCTGGATACAGCCACCCTCTGTGTTCTCCATGAAGGAAGACAATCTCCTCTCAGTTCACTGGAGGTGGCTTTGAAGACCCCAGGATGTTCACAGCCTTGTTCCCATCTGTAGTTGCTTTAGAGTGTTGGCCAAGGTGGCCAGTGACTTCTTTCTGTCCCCTCACAAAAACCAACCTCTTCTCCCCACCATGATGAAATGCCTCAGCTCCTTGATTCTTAAGACAGCGATCTAAATTCTTTAAACTACCAGGCCAGGCCCTGTCATTTTTTTCTTTTTCCCCTGGTGTGCTTAGGATCAGGTTCTCTAGCCTGGCCCTCGATGCTGTCATCTTCCGCTGACCCACATCTCCAGCCTCCATGGTCCAGAGTGGCTTCAGGTGCCCTCACACCCCAGTTTTTCTTTCTGCTGGGCCTAGACAGGGACAGCCATGCAGCTTCTCCATTTGGCAAACTCACAGCTTCCTCCCTTCTTTAGTCACCGTCTGTCTGGCCCGCCTCAGTGTCCATCTCTCCCTCCTGCACCAGAACCCCAAACCTCCCCTGTTCCCCTCTCCATCCGGTGCATCCTGCTTGTCAGCTCGCAGCCTTCCTCTGACTCCCTGTGACCCTGGGGAGAAACTCTAGCCTCTCAGGCTGGTGCCTGAGGCCCCTTGGTGTCTGGCCCCTGCTGTTCTCCCCAACTAATCTCCTTCCTTCTCTCTTTCCACACAGGGGCTCCCAACCCCTCACCTACCATTTGGCGCTCTGAAATGAGCTCAGGAAAGAATCACTCCTGATCTGATCCCTAGCACAAGGTAAAGGAGAGGAGGGGCTTCCTCAGCAGGGGTGGGAATCAAATTTCCTCAAGAAAGAGAATCAAGGGCTGGTGAGATGGCTCAGTGGTCTAAAGCACCTACTTAGAACAAGCTTAGCAAAGCACAGGGACCGCGGTTCAATCCCCCAGCACCACACGCCAGCCAGCCCCGCCCCCTGGTTCCCTGGTGGGCTGAGCTGGCCACACACACACACACACACACACACACACACACACACACACACAGAGATAAAATTAAAAGAAAAAAGAAAGAGAATCAAGAGAGATCTGTGCTTCCAAGAGGCCCAAGTGAAGTAAAAGCTACGCGTATCATGGTGACAAAATCCACCTTTTATTGGATGCATGGCGGGGCCAGGCGCTGTTCTGTGTACTTCCTGTCTTTGAAGCCTTTCTTCCTCCCAGTGACAGCCAGGTTCTGCAGAGGAATGTGCTAGCCTTGTCCTAATCACACAGATGAGGAAATGGACATTGCGAAATGAGACATTTCCCAAGTGGGTACAGACAGCAAGTAGGAGAGCTGCAACTGCATCTCCAGGAAGGAACGAGGACTGTGAGGGACAGGCGGGCAGAGGGGTCTCCCTATATCCTTGGAGTTGCAGGCAGCAGCTTGTGCGTCTTCCCTATCCCTACCCTCAGTGCCTCGAGGGTGCGGCTGGGGAATGACCAGGGAGAATGGATGCTCTTCCTCCTGCTACTCCCTTCGCAAAGCATAAAGGGCTGCATCAGGCAGGAGGGGCCAGAAGACAAGGTCTAGGGAAAGAGGTTCTGGAGCCAGCCAGGGGGTCACAGAGCAAGAGCTGGATGCGCACACTTGAGGGTCAGTTGCCTCGAATGGTTCTTTGGATCCAGCTGACATATCTGCAGACATCAGTGTAGACTCCTGGCTTCTCCTTGGACCCACAGGGGACGTTACCCCATGACACAAGGCCTCGGAGGCGGCCTCCACACACCAGTGGGCCCCCCGAGTCACCCTATGGGAAAGAGAGAGGAAGTGAGATGCAGAAACCCGTTCACAGAGCCATGCAGAGAGGAGTGTTGGAGAAATTCAGAGCCGAGGACAGAGAGGCAGACAAATAGACATACACAAAGAGGCTCAAAGGGGTGCATAAGTAGAGGCAGGAATACTAAAGTCCACAAAGGTCGAGGCAGAAAGAAAACAGAGAGAAAGAAAGGAGGTGGAGAGGTGTGCTGGGACGCAGAGGGGGAGAGATAGGGAAGAAGCATGGGCCATCTGACAGTCAAGCATGGTGTCACACGCCTGCAATCCCAGATCCTGAGAGGCTGAAGCAGGAGGGTCACAAGCTCATAGCCTATGTAGGCAACTTAGCACCCCAGAGGGATCCCGATTCAACGTAAAACAATAGAGGGCTGGCCAAATAGCTCAGAGGATTAAAGTGCCTGGCACAGGGGCCCAATCCCCAGGCCTGCCATGTCAGCCCCACCCCCGGGGCAGGCACCCTGAGGTTGGGGGCTGAGATGGTGATTGAAACTGGGCATGGTGGTGCACGCCTGTAATCCCAGCACCTGGGAGGCTGCAAACAGGAGAATCACTGAGTCCAATCTAGTAGTGAGACCCTGAACACCCTGTAGTTCCTTCCCTAATATACAGGAAAAAAAAAAAAAAAGTAGCACAATAAAAAGGCTAGGGGTGTAATTCAGTGCCAGGGTCCTGGGTTCAATCCTGAGAATGGCACACATACAAAAAAATAAATAAAATAAAATAAAAATATACGAGGCATGGAGCAAGAAGAGGGGAACACAGAGACCCGGGAGAGAGGAGCACAAAGCCCCTCCACTTGTCCTGTGGACAGCCCTCCTTTCATGCCCTTGCCCTGCTTCCCAATGGCTGCGCATCACTTTCTCGTTCTCCCTCTCGCTCCTTTAGCCTGGCCTGTGCATGATTTTCAAAGCTTTGGTCAATGGGGCATAAAGAGGAGAGACTTCCTAGAGAACAGTGAGGGGGACTCACGCTGGAGGTATTTAGGAGTGGGGATGGCGCCCGTCTCTCTCTAGCCGAGCCTCCCCCTCTGGCACTGGGGCTCCGAAGGCAAGCAGTTCCCTGTTGCCTCTGTCTCCTTCCTGTGTCTCCCTGGCTCTCAGTTCCTCTGTACTTCCTCACTCTGCATTCTGTCCTTTTGTCTCCGTGTGCCCCTTGCCCATGTCTCTGTGTTGGGGACCAAGTCCCTCTCCCGTTCTCTGTTCTGCTGTGCGGGCCACCTCACCTGGCAGGCATCCGTCCCTTCTTTTGGGTCCCCGGCGCACACCATGTTCCTGGTGATCTGGCCGGGGTAGGCGTGCTCACACTCATCTCGTGGCACTAACTGGACGTAGGCACACTGGATGGTGTCAGGGAACACACCTGCCCAGAGAGAGATGGGCTGGGCTCACTGCACGTCCCACAGCCCCAGCCACCCGCCAGTCCCCACCAGTCCTGTCTGCTCTGCATCCCTACTTCCACAGTCCTTCCTTCCTGTTTGTCTCCTGTGCTTAGAGCCCGTTTCCAGGGACACTGCCTCATGACCAGTCCCTTTCCCAGCATTCTTCCCTCCCACTGGCCTGACTTCCGCATTGGTCATCACTTCCTGACCAATTATTTCCAACTAGTTTTCCCTTTCTCTTAGGTTCTGCCTCTATACATGTCTTATGCATGCTTCTTATCTTCAGTCCTGGTTGACCTATAAGACCCTTCCCCCATTTATCTCTCCGAGGCATTAGTTTGTCCTTTACTAGGTCCTTGTTGGCTATTGGTTCATTCTGATCAGTTACCACTTCACTATTGGCCTTTTTGTAATCAGCCTTGCTTTTCTGCACTGGCTTTCTCTTTTTATTGGTCCTTCAGTTAATGCTACACTTTCCTCATTGGTCCTTTTTTAATTGATACCACTTCCTCCAGTGGCTCTAATTTCCTATTGGCTCCTTGCTCAGGGGTCCTCCCTTTTTAATTGGTCCTTCTTCCATAAGCCTACTTTCAATGGTGCCTACTGATCTGTTAAGTCCTTTCTGTAGTGACTCCTGTCAACCAGTTATTCTTTCCCAGTTGGTCCCTTCCCCACTAACTCTTTCCAGTCCATTAACTCTCAATTTACACCCTTCACTGGGCTCCTCGCTCATCTGGATACCCTTCCTCCATTATTTCTTCTCCATAATCTTTCTCATTCATCCAGCCCTTCCTGACCAATGTATCCCCACCAACTGTCCCTCTTCATTGGCCCTTCACTGAAGAGCCTGTCTTGTCCATACTCCAGCTATTGGCCTGTTCACCATTGGTTCTTTACTCAGAGGTCCAGCTCCTGAGTTTTCCACTGCTCTCCTTGACCCTCCATGCAAGGCACAGCCCACTGGTCTTCACCACCCACCCATCTTCCCATGCCCATCCCCTGCAGTCCTGCCTTCCTCTTGACCCTTCACCCCTTGCCTCACCTCCTCACCCCACTGAGCCCACACTTTCCACCTTCCTTTACTGACCTTCTTCTGTCCTGCCCCAGCCCAGGATGTGGCAGCTGGTCGACCTGGCCTGGCAGTCCCTCTCCAGGGCCAGAGGCTTGATCCAGGCAGAGAAGTTGGCAGGCTTTGACATACGCAACAACATGATGTCCTGGTCGTGGGTAGCAGGATTGAAGCCGGGATGGGCCACAGCCTTGACCACAGATCTCCTCTGCGTATTTATCGAATTCCGAAGATTATGCTCCCCCAGGCGGATGTAAAGCTTCCTGGGGGGATAAGTTGGATCTCACCTGGAAGCCTGGGTTACAGCTGAGGCTTTGGAGAGGGCTGGGAAATTAGGACTCACCAGGTTTCTCCACTTAGCCTTCCCTAGCCTAGCTGATGACTATTCTTCATTGTTTTCTGTTTGTTTGTTTTGTTTTGTTTTGTTTTTTAATGTATTTGGTTGTTACAGGGTCTCACTCGGACTTGTAGTGATCCTCCTGTTTTCAGCCTCCCCAATGCTGGGAGTACAGGCATGGGCCACTAGGCCTGGACTCTGTGGCAGGCTCAGCCTGCCCTGGAGGTGGGCCTGGCAAGGCATGTGGTGCCAGGGATCAAACTGCAGTCCCTGTGTTTGCCTGAGCAGGCGCTTTAATCCACTGAGCTATCTCACCACCCCCTTTTAATCTGAACCTCTTAATCCATGCCCCCCATTTGATTCCTACTCCCTTATCACTTCATCCATTTCAGCTTACTTACTACAGTGGCTGACGCCTGTGACATCCGCAGGCCAGGATGGGGATTTTCTGGTTTTCCACCTGGGGAATCCCTTCTGCCTGAGCCAGCATCTGGTGGGTATTTCATAAATATTCCTCAAACAAATCCAGGTATTGCTCCCTTGCTCAAAAGCCTGGCTTTGGTACCCCTATGTGATTTGGACCTGCTCCACCGGGGAACTGGTCACTCTCTACTCTTAGAGGACTCAGACCCTTTGTCACCACGGGGCTTTGTTGAGATCCCTGCTGTGAATGCCCTTCCCCTTTCTTCGCTTAGCTTCTGGTCCCCATTTGTCATCTCTTTAGGCAATCTCTCCTGATTTCCTCTGTCAAAAGTCCCCTGTTCTTTTTACCCTTTCTCTCTTTCTTTTCTTTTCTTTTTCTTTTTTTCTTTTTCTTTTTTTTCCAGAACTCAGGCCCCTGCACTTACCAGGCAAGCACTTATTCTACTGAGCCATCTCCCCGGCTCCCTTTTTACCCTTTCTTAAAGGTAACTTGCCTGTGATTTTGCAGATTTGCTCCTAGAAGAGCTGCCTCGCTTCATCTTTCTGTGTGGGCCTGGGTGAATCTCTGTCATCCCTTAGGGGAGGCACTGCCTCTGAGTCCAATCTGGTACTTGGTGGGGTTCCCAGACTCTGCATACCCACTGAAGGAATGGTGTGGTGGTCGTGGGGTCTTCGGGGCACTGTCTATGGGTCCGACTATGACTCTGCATGGCAGGCCCATCCCCACTGTGAGGAGTAGTATCCATTGATTTTCCTATACTTGAGTGGTCACTGGCTACTTTTATGAGCCTCAGTTTCCTCCACTGCAGTGTGGCCCCAAGAGCCAATCACCACCAGGATTCCAGGAAAGGGACCTAGACTGTTTAACTTAGCACCTGGCCCCTGTAGCTTGCGCCTGCTTTTTGGATCATCTCACCCAGCCCTCGGGCTTCAAGTAACACCTGTTTGCTGATGGCGCCTTAGTTAGGCCCGCAGCTCTGATGGCTCCCCAAATGCCAACAGCCTACCTGGTGTCCTGCCTTGGATGTTTCCTGGGGACTTGAAGCTCCCCTCGGCAGAAGCAAAATGTCTCCTTTTCCCCCCTACACACCTGGCCTGCTTCTCTCCTCCTCTCCTCTCCTGTCCTGACTTAGAGACAGATGTGTCAGGACACCCAGGAGCTCAGCACAAACACCTGGAGGTCAGCCACTGTCCCCTCCCTCCCTCCTGTCCCTCACTGCCACAACCTGCCTGCTCAGTCTCCAAGGCCCTTCCAAGTCCATGGCCACCACCGTGATCCAAGCCAGACCACCCACCGCAAGCCTCAGCTCGAATCTCTCTCCCTTGCCTCCTGCACCTTGTTCCCTCCATGTGCCAGGCAAGGTGCTCTCAGGATGCACTCCAGGCCCTGTGCACTCCCAGGGGAGCAAGAATGACGCCCTAGCTCCATCCCAGCTGTGGGGCACAGATGATCCCACCTGCCCATTAGAAGGCAAATTCCTCAAAACTGATTTTGCCTGCTATGTGTTAGTTCCTCTCCACACTTGGCACAGCCATTTCTCTGTCTGGGGGTTCAGCATCCAGGGAGACAGTGGACTATGGATTGGAACTACTGAGAAAAATATTCTTTCTGAGCCATGTACAGACATTCTTCCTGCCACTCTCTACAACAACCATTTACATAGAATTTACATTGTCTCCCATATTCTAAGTAGTCTAGAGATGATTTAAGATATTTGGAAGGGTGGATGCAGGCTGTATGCAAATACTAACCCATCGTACAGGAGGTTGTGAGCATCCAGGAGTGCCAGTGTCCCTGCTGTGTCCACCTCCTGCCTAAAGCCTACAGGACACCGTGGGGTCCACTGCATTTGCTCTTCCCCAAGGCATAGACACTCACTCTTTCTTGCAGTGGGCAGCTGTGAGGACCCAATCCTCGTGAATAAGGACCCCGCCACAGAGCAAATGGTCCGAGCTGTAGAGGGCGGCTTGGTAGGGGTGAGCGTGCCTGTCACAGGGTCCTCCGTGCACCAATTTCTCCTGCTCCTCTGCAAAAGCTGTGTGGAAAGTGTCTGGGTCAGAGAGGAGATGGAGACACCAGGCAGGTCCATGGAGAGGAGCTTCACCCAGCCTGGTTCTGTCCCCACCTGTGGCAGATGCAGCCTACTGCACCTGTGCCCTCTCGCCCTCTTCCTTCTCCTCCTCATCCTTATGCTCCTCCTCATCCTCGACCCTGCCTCCTACCTCTTCTGCTCTCCACTCCCATCATCCAGGACTAAACTCTGATCTCCCATCCCACCTCCCATCCCTTTCCCATCTTCCTCCATCCTGGAGCAAATCCCCAACTCCCTCATTTCACAGGCACTGCATCTCCAACCCCCACATCCCACCCCATCCCATGTCTCCCCCAGTTAGCAGCCCCAACTCTGCAGCCATCCAACCTCCCCCAGTGATACTCCTTTCTTCTCACCTCCAGCCAGGAGAACCAGTACCACTGCCAGCGTCTTCATGGCCATTCCTGCAGGGAAGCCAGGGGCCCCATCAGTCAGTGTCTCTGTCTTTCAGACCCACCCGGCCCCTCTTCACCCTCTGCTTCCTCCTGCCAGCTCTGCTCGCTGGAGCTTGGCCTCTGGCCCTGCCTTCCTGCTGCCTAGGAGACTCTTTCCCTGCACCAGGCTTGCTGCACTCCCGGTGTCCTCCCCATGCCCGTGATCTGCACCTATAGTCTTACCTTCTGGCGGCCGGCCGCTGCCTGCTGCTCACAGGGTTCTTGGATCAGGCAGGACAGAGCTCCTGATCATAGGCAGGTGAGGAGCCAAGAGTGAGCAGTGCGAGCCGCCACCAGGAGAGCAGAGGGAGAGGGGAGATGCCACCGCCCAGCGGGTAGCTGTCTGGGGCAAGCTGCAGGGACGCTTGCTCCTGCTTGTGCTTGGCCTCCCAGGAGAGGCTGGTTCTGTCTCGGGATGCTTCTAGCACGTCCTTTTAACCCCCATCTCCCCGAGTCCCTGAGCCAAGAGTCTGGCCCCTCCCTTTTCCTCCTAACCCAGGCCACCCACTCACATTCTTTCTGCCTCAGTGACCCCTGACAGGACTTCAGGCAGAGGAGTAGATTCTTGATTTGGGGCCTAGACCCCCTGGTGTGAGGGAGGAGGCTGCACCTGGAAACCCCTGTTCTCAGCGAGGAGGCCCAGCCTGGACCCTGGGTCTGAGGGAGGAGGCTGGGCCTGGACCCTGGTTCTGAGAGAAGACAGCTGGTTCCTTAGTGTTAGAGTTTTAGGCTTTTGAGAAAGGAGTTGCGTTTGCCCACCTCTCAGACTTGCCCTCTTGCCTGTGGTTGCCCAGGGACTCATGAACCCACATTCCTGGGTCTGCAGCACTGGGGACTGGAACCTGCCACCTTGGGTCAGTGGGGTTGGGTGACTCACCTGTCTGTAAGTCCCTCTGTGGGTGCCTCCGACCTTCTTGTCCCCAGGAAAGTGCAAACAGCCAATGAGAAAGGGTGTGTCCCCAAGCTGTCCCCCGCCTCTGCACCAGGCTGGGAAGGGCCCAGAGCTGTGAGGAAAGGACAATCGGGCTTTGTCAGCTGCCACCCCAGTACCAGGCTCCCAGCAGTTCCACTTCTCATCCACTTGTTCAGGCCAGGCAGGAGGCTGTGTCAGTGGCTTTCCTCCCTTCTGGGCTTCCTGCTGTGGCTGCTGGGCTCCCACCTGACCCAGCCCTGCACTGCAGAACTCTCTGGACTCTCCCAGTCCCTCCCTTCCAAGCTTGCCCTTGTCACAGTCTCTGGATCTGTCTTCCTGGCCACAGTGGAGGTGTCTACAGTACACACTCTGTCTTCTTCTCAAGCTCTCGGATTTTCTCTTTCTAGCCTTTTCCCTTTCTCTATGTGTCTCTCTCTGTCTCACTCTCTGTCTCTGTCTTTATCACATTCCTTCTTTCCCCTTGATTCCCTGGTTCTTTCTAGGCGAAACCTTTTTTTGGAAGGTGGGTACCAGGGACTGAACTCGGGACCTTGCCCTTGCCAGGCAGGTGCTTATGCCACTGAGCTATGTTCCTGGCCCCTCTCTGGTTCTTTCTAATTGCCTTTTCCTAAGTTTCCTCTAGCTTGCCCAGGGAGACAGATAGCATGAAAACATAAGGCAAATGTTTAAAGTTTTAAAACTTATTACCATAAAAGATGCATTGCCTTGAGTGAGATTGAATCCCCCCCTTGTTTGCCACACAGTCCTCCCATCATTCTTGCCACTTTCTGGGGCATTTCCGGAAACCCTCTTCCATGAGCCAACACAGTAGACAGAGAGCCATTGCAAAGTGTCTACAAGCCTGCATTTCTGTTGAATGGCACTAGGCAGCAGCATTCACTGTATTTTTGATCACACCTGATTAAAAATAAAACATACTCAGGAAGGAGGACTTCCAGAACTGCTTCAGAAAGTGGCAGGAGTGGTGGGATAAGTATGTGGGAAGCGAGGAGATGAATGTTTTGAGGGGGATTCATAGTAGTGTCTTTTACTGCCATAATGTTATTTGAATATGCATTGTGTTGTGTGTTTGCAGACTGGAGCAGGGTTCCTGGCATGAGAAAGGGTGGTACAGGAGCCAAGGGGAAGCTAGTAGGGTGCAGAGGACACACCACAGGGCTCCATGCACTCAGAGAGAGTTGCGCAGAAGAGCGGCAGGGACACAGGGGGCTGGGAGGGGACCCAGAGTGATATGCTAAGTGGGGCTGCAGGATTTTCAGAGATGCCTATGAACTTGCACCTGGGGAGTGGAAACGGGTGTTGGTCAAGAGGAGAAGGTGTGAGAACACCCGGCAGGCAGGGTTGGGGGAAGCAGGCAGTGGTCAGGGTGGAATGTGGGGTGAAGGTGTGGCAGGTGGAGGGGGGGTTGTCTTGATGTCAGGGTGGAGGAGAAGCAAGATAGGGGCTTATGGGGAAATGGTTGGGTAACAAGGACAATGGATATGAATAATCTCTGCCTCAACCCCTGCGTGGGCTTGACACCTCAGGTAACCTTTTTTGTCCTTGCATCAAATCTAATTGTCACCTTAGTTGCTCAGCCCCATGAGCCTCAGGATGGGCCCTTCTTGGTTGGTCCCCATTGCATACACTTCTCCTTTGTAACCCACCTTCCTCCTGGCTATAGAGCTGAAGCCTGCAGGCTTTGGCCCCAGTCCTCACTCACTGGCTCTCTTCTCTCTAGGGTCCCCTCTTCTCTGGACCCATGTTCCTGGCCCCAGTTCAGATCTGCTCTTCTCCTATCAGGCTACCACTGGGTACCCCTCATCCTCCATATGCTCTGTGGCACCCAAGGGCTCTCCTGCACCTACCTGACCCTGACCTGACCCCTGCTTCTTCCAGTCCTAGGGGCAGAGACCCAGCCCTCGTTCTGGTATCAGAGGACCCTCAGCATCCAGAGAAGCCACAGCCAAGAGAAACTCAAGACCTGCACCTTTGGCATTTGCAGTTTCTAGCAATCCCAAGGATTTTTGTTTCTTTCCTGAGAGGCTGGGCAAGGGGCTTAGTGGCAGAGCTGTCACCTGGTATTCACATGGCCCTGACTGCTATATCCTCAACAACAGAAAAGGAAAAAGAATTACAAAAAGATGTCAAGTCTTCTGATCAGGAAGAAGAAGTATGTGGGGGCAATGCATATGTTAAATGGCTCAATGGGCCGTGGAGATAGCTCAGTAAAGTAAGTGCTTGCCTGGCAAACACAAGGTCCTGAGTTCAATCCCTGCTACTACTAAATACATACATACATACATGGCTCGATGTAGACATGCTCCAACATGTAGATATCTTTATTAAAGCCTCATGCTGTGCACTGTAAGTGCATGCAACTTGTACTAGTCCATGACAGATATATTTCAGAGAAAAAGTGAAAAGCAACAGGAAGAAGCTGAACATGGTGACCTATGTCTGTAAGAGTCCTTGCTCTCTGGGAGGGTGAGGTGGGAGGATTGCAAGTTTATAAGTCTGAGCCCAGCCTAGGCAATTTAGTTACTCAGTGAGACGCTGCTTATAAATAAATACATACACACATACATACATACATACATACATGCATACTGGGAACAGAATGTAGCTCAGGGCAGAGGATCTGAGCTTAATCTCTAGTACTTCCAAAAAAAAGAGTTCGAGATTTCGTTTAACTCAGGCTATTCAAGCTATTATCATTTCAACATAAAATTATAGTAAGGAAAAGGGGACAGAGCGGCTTGGCTTTATCTCTTGCCATTCTAAGTGCTCGGAACCTGATGAGTCTTTTCCACTTACACAGTTGAGGTCATGGAGGACCACGAGTGAGAGGTGACTGCCCTTCCAGCTGGGTGCCCACCTCCAGCCTCTAGCCCACACTGCATCCTTGCGCAGTGCCAGGCAATGCCATGTCTCTGGTCTTGGGTGCTTCCCTCATGCTATTTCTTCCAGGTGGAATGCTCTCTCTCCCTTTTCTGGACAGTCAGCCCTCATCCTTCCAGTCTTTGCCTCGACATGGCCTCCTACAGGAAGCCTTCCCGGAACACTACCGGCCCCCACCTGCTGCACTTGGGTTAGTCACTGTCATGTGGGCTCACATACAGATGCCTCCGTGCAGTCACCTGGACCAAGGCCATCTGGATTGACAGTCAGGTGCAACCTCCCTCATTGCACCTGGAGCTTCTTGAGGGCAGGCCCCGGGGCTGACTCAGCTCCGTGTTCTGAGGACCTCTGGCAGATCCGGCATGGAAGAACCTCAGGAGATGTTGACCCAGTGACTAAATAACTTCATTACTCCCACTCTTGTTTTGCAGATAAGAAGACTGTAGTTCAGAGGAAGGAGGTTCATTGTTCAATGTCAAACAGCCAGCAGGTGATAAGAGGGGTCAGGGACCACCACGGTGGAACAGAGGTCAACGATGATAAAAGAAGCCCCTGGTACAAGAAACGGCCACCCTTTGTAGGATGGTATGTTGCTTCTCTGCCCTTGGACTCTTTCAACAGATCCATCAAAGACCCTGCTCAAACCAAAAAGGCAAAATACTGCATAAAAGGAGAACTAGTTACCAAGAAAGGCCTGGCTAAGCCCTCTAGCTTCACTTGCTTTTAGTCAACTCCAGCATCACAGTCTGGAGGCTGCACAACTGGGTGATGCACTGTTCCCCTCTAGTGTGCTCTCGGTGACATCTGACGTGTGTGTCATAGTAATGCTCGCCTGGTACAGTGGATTAACTAAGGATCAACTTGTAGCATCCAGCTGAACTGAATCAGCATGGTTCTGGGTGTGGAAGGCCCCCCTGAGGGTTCTTGCCGAAAGCATAAAAAGAATTGGAGGCAGACGGTGTGCTGCTGATGCTCCTGGAGAAGCTTGTCACGGGCTTTGCTGAGGTGACCTCAGCTGTTCTCACCTCTGGAGCAACTCAAGTCCTCACCATTGCTGACGAGGGCTGTGGTTCTCCTTGGAAGTTCTGGTCCTTGCCTTGAGTGTCACACCTGGCTCCAGTGAAGATCTCTTTCCAGCTGCTGGCACAGATCCTTCGTCCTGCTGGTGCACACTTTCTGGCTTCCACCCCTGACCTTTGGGCCTTCTCAGTGCAGATCCTTGACACAGACTTGCATGAGGCAGTTGTGGGCTTTGGGCTTCGTTTTGGCCTCATGAGAGGCATTGCCATAAGTTCTTTGTCTTCACTTGCATTTCTGAAAGACATTGGCCGTGGGATCTAGGCCCTCAGCTGGACACTTTAGGCCTCTAGTTTGTGGACAGATCTCCCACACTCTTCTGCATTTGACTCTTTGGGTGAATATTATAAAATCATCCTGTAGGGGCTGGGGAAATAGCTCAGCCCTCTAAGCACCTGCCTAGCAAGCGCAGGGGCCCAGGTTTGATCCCCAGTACTGCATACCGTGCTGGCCCCAGAACTGGGCATGGTGGCTCACACCTGAAATCCTAGTGCTGAGGAGGCTGAGATAGGAGGATGACTATGAGTCTGAGATGCATAGTGAGCCCAGGTTCCAAATAAATAAATGTTGAAAGAATTTTAAAATCACCCTGTAAATTATGTATCTTGTATTAAATCTTTTCCCTTGTAAGCCCTGACTACCACCCCTGAGTCACTGCAGATTTCTTCGGCTGAGGCCCCTCCCTTCCCTGCTGTAGGCCTGCAGATGCCCAACGGCTGAGTAAAACAGGATGAGAAGGCCCACACCTCTGTCTTCACGCTATGCCGGTCCCCTCGGCTGCTTAACCTTTGGCTCAGATTCTGCTCGGAGCTGCAGTGCAGACGTGTTGGTTTCTCACTGGAGCTTGCTATGTGCTTCCTTTTCTCCCTTTTTTGCTCTTTTCTGTTTCTACCCTGGTACTTCTCCAGTGGCCATAGCACCATGAGCATCTCAAGTTCTTTGACCCAATGCCTGGGCCGAAATGCAAGAGGCTCAAATGTTTTGCCTGGCATGAAGGTGTCAGTTACAAGAAAATTCAACTGGTAGGGTAGGCCAGATAGCTCAGTGGATTAAAGTGCCTGGTTAGGCAGACACAGGGACCGGGGTTCCACCCCTGCCATGCCTTGTAGGTCCCCCTTCAGGGACACGCTGCCACGGCGATTGAGACTGGGCATGGTGGCGCACCTGCGCCTCTAATCTGAGGGCTTGGGAGACTGCAAACAGGAGGATCACTATGAGTCTGATGTGTGTAGTGAGACCTTGTAGACCCTGCACTAAATACATAAAAAAGAAAAGAAAGAAAATTCAACTGTTTCAAGGACAAGCTGGGGCTGGGGAGATAGCTTGGCAGTCTAAGTGCCTGCCTGGCAAGCACAAGGACCCAGATTCAATCACTGGTATCCATGCTGGCCCTGGAACCCCAGGCTCACTGTGCCGGCCACCATAGAGACCCTGTACCCAATATATATATATATATATATATATATATATAAAGATATATATTTTCTCTTCTTTTAAGAAAAATATATTTATTTATTTATTTATTTATTTATTTAGTGTCTGTGTGTGGCCAGCTCAGCCCACTGGGGGCGGGGCTGGCTGGCTTGTGGTGCTGGGGGATTGAACCGCGGTCCCTGTGCTTTGCTTAGCTTGTTCTAAGTAGGTGCTTTAGACCACTGAGCCATCTCACCAGCCCAAAATATATTTTTAAAAAATACAAATGTCTTACCAAAAGGACAAGCTGATTGTGACTACCCCATGGTCCAAATCTTATATAGGCTTTTTTTTTTGGGGGGGGGGAAGGGTCTACAGGGTGTTCAGAGTCTCACTGCTAGATCAGACTAGTGATCCACGTGTTTACATCCTCCCAAGAGCTGGGATTACAGACACATGCCACCACACCCAGTCTCTCCATGGTCCAAATCTTACACAAGAGGAATTATCTTTGGAACTGTGCCCCTGACCAATGGAAATTGACTGGGCTTTAGAACATCTGCAAGTACTTCCCAGCTTTATGGGAAGTAGTAGAAAAGCTTGCTTCTGTCCTTCTTTGGAGAGCAGTGTGGTCCCTCTCTCTATCGATGCCAACTCCCCTCAGTTAATGAGGCCTTGCTTATGTATGTGCTTGTGACAGTTAGCCTAGTCTCAGAGGTTGGTGGTGGAGCCTAAATTGGACTTCAGCTTCCAATACGGTGTGGGATATGGATCATTTCTTGGTGCAGGCCCAGGAGGAATTGGCAATAGCTGTCTGTGTAGGCAAAGGGAGAAGGGGGTAGGCCACAGGGGGTGGAGGAATTTATTTTTATAATTTTATTCATTATTTGTTTTGATTTGATACAGGGTCTCACTAAGCAGCACAGACTTGCTGTGATCCTCCTGTCTCAGCCTCCTCAGTGCTGGGACTGCAAGCATACACCACCACATCTGGTTCCAGGGCTGGTATGGCATGCAGTACTGGGAACTGAACCCGGTCCTTGTGCTTGCCAGGCAAGTGCTGAAGCCGCCAAGCTGTCTCTCCAGCCCCAGTGGGGGAATTTCTAAAAGTGAAGATGAAGCCCGCAACACCACCCCTTTGCCAGTGACATTGGACAGAGACTTTTGTGGTAGTGCCTTCTCCAGAGGGTGCACACCCTCACTTGCCAGGCATTTGCCTCCAAGTTGACTTGCTGTGCAAATGGAGTGAGAATAGACACTGCTTATTTGATTTATTTATTTATTTCATGTATGTACAGGCTCTCACTACACAACTCAAACTCGTAGTGATCCTGCTGTTTTCAGCCTCCCCAGTCCTGGGATTATAGGCCTGTGCCACCACGCCTGGCCTCGGTCACCAGCTCAGCGTGCCCCAGGGGTGGGGATGGCACTGTAGGTGGGACAAGGGATTGAACCCTGGTTCCTGTGCTTGCCAAAGCTGGTGCTTAGTCCGCTGAGCTGTCTTCTGGTCCTTAAACACTGTTTAATAAGGGGATTTCATGAAGGTGTGAACAAGAAAAATAGTGGAAGTCATAAACAATGAGAACCAATATTCATGGAGGGTTTATTCGGTGTCACTGTTCCAGCACTTTCTGCATATTAATTGGTCTTCACAGTAAGCCTGTGAAATACGTGATTTCTCTCCCATTTCCATAATGAAGACATAGGAATGCGGAAGTGATGGAGCAAGAGAAGACAGCAGAGCTGGGGTGTAGCTCGGTGGTGTAGAAAATGCTTAGCATGCAGGAAGCCCTGTGGGAGGAGTCTAGGTGTCCCGCCCACAGTGCATGCGCCTGCGCCTGTACACACGCAAGCAAATAGTGCGGAAATGCTACACCTGAGAGTGGAATCGAAAAATGTAATTAAAATTTTCAGTATGAATATATCTCAGTCCACTGCAAGTCAGCCCACCTTGAACTTGCATTAAAAAGAGGACTATGAGCTTGTAAATCGTGTCAGCACATCTGTCTGTCTTGTTATGTTTTATAGTTTTAGATAATGTATTGATATGAGGTCCTGGCAGGAGAGAGAGAGAAGTTGATAGAGCTTTATGGGAAGTAAGGCAAGGTTCCCCGACATTCTTTAATTTCTTAAAAAATATTTTTGTTGGGCTGGAGAGATGGCTCAGTGGTCTAAAGCACCTACTTAGAACAAGCTTAGCAAAGCACAGGGACCGCGGTTCAATCCCCCAGCACCACATGCCAGCCCGCCCCGCCCCCTGGTGGGCTGAGCTGGCCACACACACACATAAATAAATAAATTTTTTAAAAAAATAATTTTGTTTATTTTTTTGTTTGGTACAGGGTCTCATTATGCAGCATGGACTCGTAATGATCCTCTTGTCTCAGCCTCCCCAGCACTGAGATGCCAGGCGGTGCCACTATGTCAGTATTGGTGGCTGGCACCGCGCTGCTGGAATTTTAGGGATGGTATGGCATGCAGTACCGGGGATCGAACTGGGGTTCTTGCTCGTGCCAGGAAGGTGCTTAGACGGCTGAGCTATCTCCCCAACCCCTTTTTCTTTAAATTTTAAAAAGACCTACAGATAAAAGGAATTGGAGCCTGGACTCTGCCGTCTGGAAAAGGAGGTGCTGTGGGTCTAGATAATGAGAGTCCGAAAGAGGAGATCAGGCCTGGACCTGGGGCAGAGGAGGAAGGCCAGGCCTGGACCCCGTGTCTGAGGGGATGGCTGGGCTCCCCGTGTTCTGGTGTCCCATGTGCCCAGCATCAGCAGCAGTAGACTCTGTGGTGTCGAGGGCAGAGGGTGGATCAGTAGAGACTCGGGGAGATCAGCTGAGGAGAAGCACTTGCAGGATATGGCAGGGAGGGGATCCCAGAGAGAAGCAGGAATTATGGCAGAAAGGACAGGTCCTGCACTGGAGGGGATCCCTCTGCCAACAGGGTCTGTGGTGTGACCGTCCAGAGATCTCTGATGGGGAGGATTGTAACCAGGCTCTGAGTCACAATGGACTCTTCCTTCTTCTACTCCAAATCCCCTCCTGATCCCCCTGCCTCCCAGCCACTGTCTTCCTCTGGTCCTGGGACACCAGTTGGCAACTTTCTGTAGACCCTCTGGGACCCTAGTGCCCTATCTACCTGCCACCCCACACCCCACACTGCACTTCCTTTATCACTCCTGTTTGACAGCCATGAGATACCCAGCAACACTGTCACACCTCCACAAGGAGGGCGCATCTCCTCTCTCACTTCCTCTCTCCTCCTGTTTTGTTCTCTTTCTACATCCTGTTTCACAAATGAGAAAAACTGAGATCCAGGAGCAGAGAGAAACACATCACAGAAGAGCAAGGTAGCTCCAGGCTCAAAACCAGATAGTTTCCTTCTGACCTCCTCCCATCTCTCAAGGATCCCCTCCCTCGACCTTCGTAGGTCCCCAGAGCTTTCCCTCCTTTATTTTTCCAGATACGAAAGCACGTATCTCTGGCAACATCAGTGTAATAAAGGAAACAGCTAAGGCCAACACCACATGCATTTGGTACGTATTCTTTCCAATTTTACTGTAAGTGTATCATTTACCGGATCACATATATTTTTCTTTTGCAGTTCTTCTTCCATTAAACATCATATGAACAAATATGGCACTTGCAGTTCTGCCTACGTCTTACTCCTAATGGCTTCTATGTGACCTTGAACAAACTGACCGATTGTTTAAACAACCCACTTACTCTAGAACAGGTTCCGTATTTCTTCCCTTTTTTACTAAAACGAATAAGGCAATTAATTCAACTCTTGCTCCACATTCAGTACGTTTTGCTTTGTTGTTGTTTTTTTAGTACTGTCTTCCTAGAATTAGAATCACTGGATCAAAGGCAGTGAACGATAGGCTTCACTCGTGACAGCAAACCATCTGCTCCAGGATTTGAGAGTGCTGGTTTCACCAGCACTTTCCACAGCCCTGAGCTTTCTCTTTTCTTGATTTGGTTTTAGGTCCTCTCTATTTTGACTTGTGTTCTTTTGAACTTTTAATATATCTCTGAAGAAAAATAAAGAATTTAGAGGTCACTGATGTCCTTATTTCTGTGAGCTTCCTGAGGAGCGATGAGTTGAATCCTGGTGGCGCACTAGGAATGTCTTCTTATGGTCTGTTTCACCCAGTCGCTATACTTGCAGACTTGAGTGTAGACACCTGGGTCGTTGGGTTGGCCGCAAGGGAAGGTTCCCCAGGACACGATACCTTGCACAGTACCTTTGCACATCAACGGTCCTCCTGAGTCACCCTGGAGAGAACACAGCAGATCAGTTTTGGCTTCGGAGCAAACCCCTGGCCCCCACTCAGTCTTATATATTCCCTAGTTCAGTGTTTGTCTGTTGAGGCCACTCAGACCAATGAGAAGACACTCATTGTCTCTGGAAACCAGTGGGAAAGCATGAATGAGTACTCTCTTGGATTGGACCAACCAGGTTCTTTGAAGACATTGGTTGAGTCCTGACCAATGGAAATGCTCACAGGGAAGGGTGGGGCTTCCAGGGGTTTGTTCATCATTCAGTTTTAGTGTAAAGTTCTTTGGTTAAAAGTTCTGTCCAAGCCAATGGAGGAAGGTTATATGCCCTTCTGCATGAAATGGAAGGGCATGGTAATCTTTGAGAGCAGAGGTAGGAGCTATGACATCATTTACAGAGCTCCTAGAAAACATACATGACTCTTTGTCCCAAACTAATAAGGACTTTGAGACAGTAATGGGAGTGCATTAAGCTGAGCACTGGAGTGTCTGAGCCAGGGTCTCTCCAGGACAGGCATCTTCCTTCCATCCCTTCATCCCTGTTGGATACCGCCCCACCTCCCTCCGAGGATAGAGACATGGTAGGGGGAGATTCCAATGCAGAGACAAGGGAATGAAATGAAATCATGCCTAAGGAAAAGGGCATGGCAAATGTGCAGAGACAGAGTGGGTGACCACAGTTGGAGAAGTGGGGGCAAAGAGGGGCAGAAGGCTTCCTACCACCAGGACCAGAGCAACACATGAGACATTCACATCAGGCAGAAAACCCTCAGTCATCACAATAAATAAAACTTAAATGCAGTGACTTAAAACTCAAGTGTAGCTGCACATGGTGGTGTACACCTGTAATCCCAGCCCTTGGGAGGCTGAGGCAGGAGGATTGTTATAAATTCAGGGCTATATAGTGAGTTCAAGACCAGCCTCAACTATATAAAGCAAGCTCTATCTCAAAAAACAACAAAACAAAGTCCAATATAATCCAAAGCACAAAGCAAAAGAAAAAGCTGCCATCATGGCTGGACGTAGTATGCAAATTATAAATGAAGACTGCATCAGTATTGTGCTGTGCTCCAGCATCCTGGGCCCGGAGGAAAAAGGAGAATTCAGTAAGCCTGAGCCACTCCATGAATTGTGATCCTTGGCTCACAGTAGACATTTACTGTCCATTTCTTAAGATATATTGCTTAGAAGCCACACTGTGAGAGGCTGAGGCAGGAGGACTGCAACTATGAGGCCAGCCTAGGCAATTTAGTAGCCTAAGGAATGAAACCCTGATGCAAAATAAAAAATAAAAATGGACTGGGATACAGCTCAGTGCAAAAGCTCTGGAAGCCATCCCCAGGATCATAAAGAAAAAAAAGTCCAGAATGTGATTTATCCCAGTCACTGGGCTTCACACTGTGAAGGTCTGGGTGTGAGGCAGGGTCCTCAGGCCCCAAACCAGGTCTCTCCTCCTCTTTTAGCCACATGAATCGCTGTGCATGCCCAGAGTCTCAGCAGCCCTGCCATCTCCTGTGCCTGCCCAGCAGGGGATGAGGGAGAGAGACTGAGGAAGCAGGGCCTGGAGAGGACAGCAAGGCCAGGCCTGCCAGTCAGGCTCGGAGGCTGGAGGCGGAGGATGGAGACAGGCCAGGGCAGGGAGGAGGGGCTCACGTTGCAGGTGTTCGTCTTGGAGTCCTTGATGCCTGCACACAGCATGGATTTCCCCAGCAGTTCCTTGTACACCTTTTTGCACTCACTGGGGTCGATGAGATTCACATTGGTGCACATGAGCTCGGCTGGGAAGGTCACTGGAGGAAAAAGAAGGAAGGCTGTCACTCACGTGCCTGGGACTCGCAGAGGGTAGACCAGGTACTAAGGGGCCGCAGACTTGGACATTTGGGAATGAGGGACCAAGGGCCAGGGCCTGGACCTCCCAGTCTGAGGAAAGTAGTTGGGTCTGGACCTCTAGGTCTGAGAGAGAAGGCTGGGCCTGGAACCCTGAGTCTGAGAGAGGAGGCCAGGCCTAGATCCCAGGTCTCAGAGAAGAGCTGGCTAGGACCCCCAGGTCTGAGAGAAAAGCTGGGCCTGGACACCTCAGGTTGAGGGCAGATGCTGGGACTGGACCCTGGGTCTAGGGGAAGAGGCTGGGCCTGGACCTTGGGTCTGAGGGAAGAGGCCAAGCCTGGACTCCTGGATCTGAGGGAGGAACTGGGCCTGGACCCTGAGTCACTCAGTCACTGAAGTAGTGTCACCTTGTGGGCTGGTTGTAGTGCCCCAGCCAGAGACGGAACATGAAGTCCCAGCAGGTTCGCAGTGGGTGGGCAGATTGGCGGCCTTCACACCAGAGGACATCTTGACTGGACTATTGAGCCGCACCAGCATGATATCATTCTCGTGGGTCTGTGATGAGTAGCGCGGGTGGCGGAATGATTGTGTGGCCTTAATCTTCTGGGCTCTCTTGTCACCCAGCTTGTCACTACCCACCTGCACCACGTACTGGCTGGGAGAAAGCAGTGACATTCAGAAAGAGATGGTGACCGAGGGAGGGGATGCTGGCTCCCCACCTCTCCCGGCTGGCCCCTGGGCAGCACCTACCCCATCTTGCAGTGGGCAGCCGTGAGCACCCAGCGCCTGCCAACCAGCACACCACCACAGTGCAGCTGGCTGCCTTTGAGCAGCGCCACCTGCCATGGATGGGAGCCTTTGTCACACGGATAGCCATCAATAATCCTGTCTCCATTTCCGTCACCTGTACATGGACACAGAGACATGTAGGGAGCCAGCATCGGGGAGGCAGAGAGACAGAGATATGGGGAGACCCTCAGACCATGATGGTGAAGAGGGCAGAGAAGGTGAGAGACAGGCATGGGAGGGACCAAAGGGGCAGAGTTCCGGGGAGTACCCCTGGGGGCCAGGTGTGGGGGATGATGGAGAGATATGGCAGGGACAGTCAGGGCTTGGCTTTGCAGAGAAGGAGGAGGCAGAAAGAAGCAGAGGAGGGAACAGAGCTGTCCAGCCCAGCCTTTCCTGGATGGAAGGTGTCCAGGAGGGAAGGTTCACACTCACGGTCTCCCTGTTGAGCCTGGCTGCCTCCCTGTTGAGCCTGGTTGCCTCCATGGTGATTCTGGCCATCTCCATGCTGATTCTGGCTGCCTCCATGGTGATTCTGACTGGCCCCATAGTGAGCCTGACCCTCCTTGGTATGGACCCCAGGAGACTCTACACGATCCCATTCAGCAGACGCCAGGGCTGAGCTCAGCAGGAAAACCAGCAGGGGCAGGAAACGGGATCCTGCCATGGTGCCTCCAAGCCTCTGGGACAGCCAGACAAGGACCAATCTGCAGCAGGGAGTGGAGACACTCAGGATGGAAAGTTCAGCCTGAATCTCTCCTGCCTCAGAGCGGGGGTTCAGGACCAGCCCTCTTCCCTCCGACCCATAAGTGCAGGCCATTGCCCATAGCTCTTATCCCTCTCCTGTCCTTTTAAACTGTAAGTCTGGATTCTTTCTTCTTTTCCCTAAGAGCTGTCAGGGAGTGACCTCCCACTCTAACCAGGAGGCAAGGCCAGCAGCACCCCCACCCCATCCCCAGCTCCCCTCCAGTAAACCCCGCCCTGCTACATCCCTTTCTCACCTCCGCAGTATCTGATAGGATCTGTGCTCCTGTCCAGCCGGGAGAAGTGTGCAGCCTTGCACAGGGCAGTCCTTTTATATCACTCCACCTCCTTCTTCCCCCTCCCTCAGCACCCTGGGGTGCAGGCGGAGCTGGAGCTTGGACACCTCTTCCTGCTGGCTCTGGTTATCTGAACCCCTGAGGCAGCCAAAGCAATTGCTATCACCCCACTCTCTCCCCACCCTTCTTCTCGAAGCCAGGTCGCCAAGTCGGGCGGCACCCAGCTTGCTCACCCACGCACATTCTGGCTCTGGAGGTCAGGGTTGTGTGGGGGAGGACCAGGTGCTTCAGGTTGGGGGAGTGGGAAAGGGATTCGGAAAGGGCTGCGGCAAACGCTCGCTCTGCTGGGGCTCCTCCCTTGGGTCATGCTCCTGCCCTGGTCCCCTCTGAAGGGTAGCCTGGACCCTAAACCCTAATACTGACCATCCTGTGGGGCTTGTATGGGTTGCATCCCTCCTGCCTTTGAGCCTGAATGCACCCCCAAGTATAACAAAAGGGAGGAAAATGAAAAAAGAGTGCTTTTCCGAACTCCACATCCTTCCTGCTTTCTGTTATCAGTCTGTGTTCTCGTGTGTATTTTTCTGATCATACCATTCCCAGATTTATCTCTATATTATGTATTGATAACAAAGTGTTGGTACTAAATATTATGTGATATATTTTTTTTTTTCTGTTTTAGTTTTAGGTATCAAACCCAGGACGCAGGACGTACATGCAGAGAATATTCCCAGTGTTGTGGTTTTTCCTTTGTTTGTTTTTTTGTTTTGTTTTGTTTTGTTTGAGATAAGGTCTTGCTAAGTCACTAAATTTTCCAGGCTGGGCTCAAATTTGTAACTCTGTTGTTTCAGCCTCCCAGAGTGCTGGGGATGACAGATGTGTAGCACCATGCTTGGCTCTTAATTTTTTTTTTTTTTCCTCTTCAAGGAGAAGAATGTCTGGAACGCTTTCCCCTATTTGAACATTTCTCCTTCCTTTCGGATGTTGTGTAATATTCCATATCATATAGTGCTAGCATTGTGACTTATGTAATCTTTCTCAAACTGAAGCTCATTCGGGGAGTTTTGGTGGCAACACGAATGAGATGTCCATTCATTTTTGCTCATGGTGCCCATCCCAGAGTATCCACTGAGTGTCTATTGTTGTCCAGGAACCATTCTGGATACTGGGGGCACAGTGGTGAGCCCCAGCCTGAGATTCCTGCTATTGTAGGTCTGCCTATTTTAGTGGGCTAGAGACCATGATTGCGAAAATAAGCACAAAGAATATAGAATTCTCCAGGAGGTTAGTAAGTGCTGTGAGAAAAAATAAAATAAAAGCAAGGAAAGAGTTTGAGGGGATACTGGCTCCTGTGCTCAAGGACCCCTGGGATGGTCCTATCAGGTTAGAAGATCAGAAGATGCCATGTGAAGGTGGCTCTGGAATCAAACTTGTAGAGAATGAGGGAGGGCCTCGGGTGGATCTTGGCAGGGGTGAGTTCCAGCCAAAGGAAGAGGCAGATGTGTCAGATGGGAGGGTCATTGTACCCAGAGCTCAGTGAGCCAGAGTGGAGAAGAGGCAGTGGAGCCAGAGCACAGCAGGGGTCCGAAAGCATGGAGCCCTGACGGCCAGACTCAGGAGGGAGCCATGCTGTGGGTCTTCCTTCAACACAAACTCCTGCAAGTGGAGTAAACACCAGCTTCAACATCAGACCCCAATGGAGTCCTTAACCCTGAGCTTAAATCTGTTCTCAGTCCTGATCCCTAGCCCAATTCCATCTTTCACTCCTAGTTGGACTCATAATAGATACGATTGCTGCCTACCAAACATTCACTGCTTTACATCTCTTTCTGACCCGGTTCCACTTGGATAATTTTTATCTTCATCATGACCCTAAGGCTGGGTAAGCCAAGTGCAGGAGACATATTGTGCTCCACACTGGTTGGTTTAGAGCTGGACATGTGATGCCTTTCTGGCTAATGGGGAGTGAAGGAAAGACCACTGGGCACTTCTGAGAACAGTTTTATTATCTTCAGAGTCACCGGAAGCGTTCTTGTTTTTTCTGCTGGATGGTGTCCATTTTGGATGTAAAATCTGGCACTGAGAAAGCCCTCTTGGGGCCATAAGAATAAGTGGATGGATGGTTCCGCCCGGCTCGGGTCCTTCCGCCACAGCAACCATTGAAAAAGAGTAGCCATGGCCCTCCGCTATCCCATGGCCGTGGGCCT